GCAGGTTATGCTTAGGTTTGTATGCTCTCTGGGCAGATCACAGAGAACGGTAAAGGCGGTTTCGTGAAGCGGACTTCCATTGCTTTAGGGTCAGAGTTTACTTAAAGCTTTGTAAGGGTCAGGGGGCTTGAGACTTCCTTAAACCTGCAACCCTGAACTATAGGTACATTTGGGGACCCTGCAAACATGATTTTTGACGGCTATAAACGGAATATATAAGAATATAGGGCAACGCAAATTACAAATCACTTCGAGCCTAATTACACCTGTAAACCCGAACCGCGTCTCAGGTGGTTCAACGCTACAGGTTCCAGCAAATGACCTATAATCTAAACTCCTAGTATCCCCCTTCCTAACCCCTATGATGCTCCCCTATATTATCCCCTATATAACCCGCCTTTAAGGAACCTAGACCGTAGTTCACGTGACCTGAGCCCGAGCGTCACAACAAACTCAAGCTCGCAACCGATTATCATATACTTACCCAAAACCTATACTAAAATTACTATTACCCAAATCCCAAGTACCTAAATATTGGGTACATGGACCCTCAGGGTAAGTATCTACCATCAGAAACTGCATCGTTCCGAGTGGTCGGCCAACCCCTGATAAGTTCCGATCAGCAGCCTACCCAAGACTACCCAGAGGGTCCTGGGCTTACAGGTTAGGGTCTAGGAGTTAAGGTTTCGGGTGAGAGTTCAGAGTCCGTGGACCCAATAACTAGGTAATGGACTTTGGGATAGTACTTGTCGTACAGGCTTTGGCGGAGTATATGATGATTCGGTACTTGGACCTTACTACCTAGAGTAACCCGTGTACTATAGGAAACAGCTTCGGCTTCAACCATTCCATCCGCAAATGATTAAAGCAAGTCATGGAATCGTGTGATGGCTCATGAAATTTGCAGTGTGACGTTCTCCGATGTACAGCTGTTACTGTAACAATTGTCGCAGCGACCACTTCTCCCAGCTTCTTGTTGTAGCTCTGCTCGTAAGAAGCAGACATGAAAACGGCATCAAACTGCCCAACTAAGCACCCGAAACTCTAGCTTTAAGCACTCTATTAGCTTCCATCTTCTTTTCCATCCCCCCTCGCCATACTAAACGCCAAGGAGGCTGCCACCTCCAATTGCATAGTGTAGAAGCCTGTTCAGCTTTCAGCGTTTAGGTCTTAGAGGCTTGGGGCTGGGCCTTGCGTAGCCAATGGTAATGGTGAATCGAACGGAAACATGCAACATTGTGGAGAATGAAGGGGCCTGAAAAAATCGCCGACTGTCAGGTCTACTTGAGGTACCCTACGAGTTTTTGCCAGAAACCTACAAGAAACCTACGACCATTCTACTGGTACTTCTCCAAGGTCCTTGCAGTAGATGGAAGTCGAAGAGTTCTGTGACCGTGCATAGGACGGCCCAGACTCTGAATAAGGTCTGCACAACCTTACACAGGTAGCAAATGCCTCGCGCACCTTGTGAAGGATTTCCAGAAATCAGGGGCCATTTCAGCACCCCTTCTTTTGGAAACTCCTGTTTCATTGAACAACACTCTCCTAGCATATACCGCCTGAAAGGTCTATACAACCTATATAACCAGCTTAAGAAAGGCTACGGCAGGCAGACTGAAACAAGAGCCGCGACAGCTTTGCTAGCGAACCATGTCCGTGCGTAGGACGGACGCAGGCGCACGAAGGTCTGCACAACCTTACGGACCCAAAGGGTCCATGTAGGCAAATATTTATATATATATGTGTGTATATATGTATGTATATCTCTCGCTCTCTCTCTTTATTTTCTTACGTATTTATCTTACTAAATTTAGTGTTTGGGCTTTAGGGGTGAATTAGGGGTGGGGTTATAATGTATACTCAGGCCCCAAAAGGGTTCCCACCCATGTATGTATATATATATATATATACACACACATATATTGCCCCTTCAAGGCCCAAGTATGTACCATATAGCTACATGGACCCTTAGGGAGAAGACAGACAAGGCAGGAAATGCCTGAAACTCTATCCACCATTGCACCATCTGGTTTGCTTGTCCCATCAGAAGCAGCACCTACATGGGTTCACACAAACCTTAGGCCCTAGACCCTACAACCTAAACTCTACCCCTAATTAAGGCTCAAAACAGCCCAAAGCCTTTGATAGTATGGTCTGTCAAAATATGAGTCCTTCGAGCCTCAGGGTAAACTGTCCTAAGCCTGGGACCGCACATCGGCTGTGGATAGCTTGCCATCGAGAGCGGGCGCCGTCACAGCACATCAAAGCCAGCCATTTGAGGCTTTCTCACAGTGAGGGAACCGATTGACCATAGGGTTTAGGGTTTAGGGTTTAGTGTTTAGGGCTTATGTATAGATTCAAACGTATGGCTCCATCGGCCCTGTTCGAATAGCAGGTATTCTGTGGCCTTATAAACTATTTATCCTGAGGGTTTCATAACGCAAGAATTAGAACCCTAAACCCTCAACCCTAAACCCTAGTATCAAGGCAAGCCTATAATTGTCAAAGGATGGAAATGAATCAATGAATTCGACTCACTTACTTCCATGAAGTAGCGAAACAGAAGCAGTCCATAGTTCGACTGAATCAAATGCATGGAACTAACTGATTCGTTCGAAATATGTAGTTCATACTAGCTGGTAGGCTCATTCGCCCTGATTACTTACATAGTTCAATTCAAACATGAAGTCTACGTCTATATTTTCAGCTAACCCAGTTCTGAATGACGAGCAGATCCGTAATTCTGATTAGATTTCCGTCTTTGAGAAGAATTCCGTTACAAAGGCCGTACAAAAGGCAACAAAAAGAGAGAAAGTTGAGGAGATCCCCAAAAGACTCCTTGCAACAATCCCCCTTATCTTTTAAACTTACCTCACTTGAAACCCTAAACCCCTAAAACCACGCAGAATCAGGTAGAAAGAACATTTTCCCGATTTAGCGTAGCTCTTGCAGGCGCAGATCCTCATGGAGATTGAACCTCACCCTCACGCAGTCCTCAACATGTTGCCGGATTCCGATCTACTAGTAAAAGGATTTTGGTGACCGCTACGAGGACCCTCATTTAAGGTTGAAGGTGACGAGTATCGCTGACGAAGACTGTACGGTAGGGGTACGCGTGTTGTCGGAAACTCCTATATATGGACCACAAATGATCCAAAACTATGCTTAGCCCACATTACCCGAGGAAGAAAAAAGGATCCTTTTCTACAGAAATATAAGGACCCTAAACCCTAAACCCTAAACCCAAAAAATACAGGATCCCCAGCATTGATCCAGTATCAGCCCCCACACCAAAAGTCTTCTGTAATTCTCATAGGGCTTAGTGGGTTTAGGGTTTAGGGTTTAGGGTTTAGGTTTAGGGTTTAGGGTTTAGGGCTTAGCCTTTAGTGGCCGGCAAGAAGGCCGCTCGGGCAGGCAATTGCACAATTGTTCTAAGAGTGGCAGGCCTTGCAGTTGAGAATCTGTAGCCCCAAGGCCACACAACACCTAAGCCTGAACTTTCCGAGACCCCTGGAAGCTCTAGAAAGCAGAACCCCCATTGCAGTACATCATCTTTCTACTATTCGACCCCCCAAACCCTGAACCCGGCTATTGGGTTATTCCCCACCCTCGCAGTGGGGTTGTTGGATTTTAAAGTAGATGTTGTCCTCGCCCGACTGGAAGCCGACTTTAGTGACCAACCGCAAAGTATCCCTGCAGTGCCCAACCACCAAGTAACCCTGCAGTGCCCAACCAAGGAATATCCCTGCAGTGCCCAACCGCAAAATCCCTGCAGTGCCCAACCGCAGAGTATCCTTACACTGCCCAACCGTAAAGTATCCCTGGAAACGTTAATTGCACTTCTTGTGCAATAACGGCTTTAGGGTGGGGTTGATCGAAGTAAATAATTTATTTTACAGGAGCCCTACAAGGGCATCTACTTTTCAAACCCGTCCAAGGGCCTGGGTTAGACTGCCCGAAGTTTCCCTTCCTGGGCCCTGTATGTCCTTCCTTGTTGGATTTCGCATGTGTGCTTAAAACACCTAAACCCTAAACCCTAAACCCTTAAACCCTAAACCCTAACAAGCTAGGACATCCATGATGAAGGGGAACCCTCGGTTCAGGGGTTCCATGCCGTTGAGGGTTTAGGATTTCGGGTTGAGTCGCAAACTGTACTTTAGTTATGCTCTACTTGAAGGCTCGGGGGATTTGGAAATTAGGTTATCAAAGGGTTTAGGGTTTTAGGGTTTAGGGTCCCATAATTAATTGGGGTTGGCCCGCTCATACCTCCCTACGGAACCTACTTACTGAATGCCTTCTTCCCAAGGGAAGCCCAAATCGCAGAAACATCCACTACCTCTTGAATAAGAAGAGGACTTTCATAACTCCAACTCTCCAACCCCCACCCTAAACCCTAAACCTTTAAATCCTAAACCCTCAACCCTAAACCCTAAATCCTAAACCTTAAAACCCTAGACCCTCTACACTCTAAACCCCCAAGAAACTCAAGCCGCAGTAAGTCCCACCACCTCTTCAGCGGGCACGACAGGTGGCTCGAGTCGGAGGACGCTGTTACAGGGCCCACGGCCCAAAGCTCTATGGGCTTTTAGACCTTAAGGGTACCGCAATCTGTTTAGGGTTTAGGGTTTAGAGGGATTATACCAAAAAAGGGTACCTTAATCTGTTTAGGGTTTAGGGTTTAGAGGAATTATACCAAAAGGGTACCTGAATCTACCCTTAATAAGGTCCTAATAGGGAATTTTTAGGGTCTAATAGCCCATAGTGGGAGCTCTTAACCACTACCGAATGCAAGGGATGATCAGGTTTGGGGTTTAGGGATTATGGAATGAAGGGGCCTTGTAATTTCCACCATCATCTACGACCATAACATTGGTAATGGCTTTCAGCTCGACATCAGGCACGGAGTTTACGAACCAGTCGTAATATTGAGAATAATAACTACAGCGGGAAATGGATATGACCCATGCTCTTCTTGGAACAGCTTACATCCGGCACGCCTTTCAAACAGAGCGGGAACGTCGACGATGGATGAAAGCCTTGTTGCTGAACCTTAGGCAAGGTTTAGGGTTTTAGGGTTTAGTGTTCAAGGTTTTAGGGTTGAGGGCTTTCGGGCTTGTAGGGTTTTAGAGTTTAGGGTTCGATTTAGGGTGGTCAAGGGTGTAGGGTTGAAGGGGATTGGGTGTATGCTGCTTCAAAGCTAAGAGTTCAGGAATTAGGGCTTAGCTGGGCAAGCTAGGACGACGTCCATGCTGAAAAAAGGACAGCCTGGTACCATGTCCTATATAGACAACCATCTTAAGCTGTTCAAGTTCAGGGTTTAGGATGTAGGGTTTAGGTCTTGGGCGCTGAGAGGCTACCAGAGTCTGTTACCTGATCCCCAAGCTCTAACCCTAAACCCTCAACCCTCAACCCTAAACTCTCAACCCTAAACCTTAAGACAGAGCAGAGCTTTCTTCATGAGTTGAAATTACTTCCGCATAAGTCAGGCTTTTTGAGATTTGAAGAAGCGCGAAACTATGTATTATCCGCAGTTAGAAAGCTCGTCCCTAAACCCTGAAAGACCCGAATCCCTAAACCCTCAACCCCAAACCTGAGGCTTATAAGGTTTACAGGTACCACTATAGGCTATGAGACCCTAAGATTCCCTATTGGGACCCTACTAAGGGTAGATTAAGGTACCCTTAATGTCTAATAGCGGTAGGGGGCGGGGTGCCCGGCGTGAAGCAGAGTTTAGGGTTTAGGGTTTTGCCCTGGAGCCCCAAAACGCTAGACCTGAAGTCCGACACCTTAAACGCGTAAGCCCTGAAACCCCAGAATTCCAAGGGTATGTAGAGGTAGGGCGCTGTTGATCCTGGGACCTTCACATTCCTAGTCTATACCGCACTTGGCCCTTTAAGCAAAAATGTTCGGGAGGTAGTTTAGGGTTTAGAGTCTAGGGCTAAAGTATATAGGAGGAACGTTGCAGGAACACGTGAAGCCCTCAACCAACAAATCAGGCCGAGAATCTAAACCCTACACCCGAAACTGCACTTGGCCTATACCTGACCCCAAGGGTCCAAGGGCCCAAATAATAGGGCTTTAGGGCCCAAATACCATGTACATTATAGTAGTTAGGCCCTAAAACCCTATTATTTGGGTCCTTGGACCCTTAAAGGTGAATCCCCAAAATTCACTTGGCCGAGACTCTGGATGAAGGTGCGTTCCACTGGGAGGGGCTGCTCAGGACACGGCAGGGCACTCAGCGCGCGCTGGAAGGGCTCCTCTTGAAGACGCACGTTTAGGGTTTAGGTTTAAGGCTTGTAACTCTACTAAACCCTAAACCCTAAACCCTAAACCCCTAAACCCCTAAACCCTAAACCCTACAGACTCTATTTTCAAACCCTAGACACTCGTATAACCCTAATCTGCAAATCTTACACCATCCTACACCCTAGGGTTTAGGGTTTAGGTCTATACTTCCTAAGCCCTGAACCCAAAGCACCATAGCGGTATCCACTTTCTTTTGCACTCCTTTTAGCGTTGTTATACTACTAACAGCCAGACACCTAATCCTCAAATCCGGAGGTTTAGTAAAAGGGAAGAAATGGGAACCCCAAACAGGGAACCCCAAGAATATAGTAGGAACATAAGAGGAATATACCGACCAGGGTCATTATATTCCATTATATTCTTACTACGTTCTTGGGGTTCCCTGTTTAGGGTTCCCATTAAGTCCCTTTATTTAGGGTTTAGAAGCCGCCAACTTCTTGAAATTTAAGCGTGCCCACTGTTGATGAACGAAATCCTGGAGACCCTACATACATGAACCATTGGAAAATGGTACCAGGAGGGACTCAGGGAGCTTCAAACGCTAGTCCCCAAACCCTAGCGTCTAAACCGTGATCCCCTAAACCCCAAACCCGTATGAAGCCTACTCCCTAAACCGTAATCCCTAAAGACTATATACCCTTCACCCCATCCCTGAACCGTACACCCTAAACAGCCAACTTATCTTTTCATGAGTAGCTTTTTTTTTGTGGCTTAGACCCAATAAGGTTTTGTGGGTACCATAGTATCCCTAAATAAAACACTAATGCAAAGATCCCCTAATCCCGTAACCCTTGCAACCCTCATCCCGAAACCCTGATCCCTTAAACCTATAAACCCCATTCCTATAAGCCCTAAGCCCTGTAGACCCTAAACTCTAGCGAACCTATCTTCACAAGCACTGCGGATGCCTCGCTCGAAGTCAAGCTCGAGAGCTCGTCATTGTCGTCATCGTTGGTGCTTCCCTCTCGAGCGGAAGATAGGATTCAGCTGGTCTTAGGGTTTTAGGGTATTTGTTTTTGGGTCGAGGATTTAGGGTTAGGACTTATATCGTTTAGGGGTTTTACGCTTGAGGGAGTTAGGGCTAGGGGCTTTTTGAGTTCAGGCATATAGGGTATTAGGCTTTGAGGTTCAGGCTGCACAGCTTTGACTGTACAACACCTGCTGATACTCAAACACCTGCATGACTTTCAAGGGTTCCTGGGTTGCAGCCCTAAGGTCGTGCCCCTAAACGGTTTCCCCAATGTAGCGCTAATCTAGGCCGTATATGAGCCAATGTAGTCCCTACAGACCCTTAAAAGGATCTCAAAACCCAAGGGTACAACCCTAGGGGTACAAGCCTGAAACCATTGAGGCTTTATGCCACAATCCCCTAAGCTTTGAAACCCTCAACCCTAACACTTTATACCACAATCCCCCAACTTCCTAAGAAAAACTCTGAAAAGAGTTGGACGTTCAGCTGGGCCCTCCGGCCCAAATACTTTAATATTCATGGTATTTGGGCCCTAAAACCCTCGTATTTGGTTCCTTGGACCCTTAGGGTAGGGTCTAGGGTCTAGTTTACTTCCGTACACAAAAGCTCTAGACCCTAAACCCTTAACTCGAGACTCCAGTCCCTATATAAGTCTAACTGCCCCAACTGAGTAGCGCTTTTTTGGTGGTTTACACCAACATTATATTCCGTATATGAAATACTATATCCCGACAGGAGGATATAATCTTACTCTAAATTGGGTACCATGGTACCCCCAGATGAAATACTACTCGACTGACAATCCATAGCCCTAAGCCCTAAACCCCAAACTGTTATAGTCCCCCTTAAGCAGGTAGAGCACGGTTTTGGGTATATTATAATAAGATCCCCATAAACCTACCTCAAATTCTATCTACTTAAGGGAGACTGTAAACCCAAACTCTTGAACCCGGAACATGCTTAAATAATCCCTAAACTCTAAACCTTAGACGCCCAAACCCCCTAAATCTTGAACCCTAAGCTCTATACCCTAAACCTGAAACCTCCAAACCCTATACCCTAAACTCCACACTCCATGACCCCTAAACCCCGACAAGAATTGGCGGCCGTGGAGCATAGTCCTCAGCCTTTACTCTCCGAATCTTTATCAGTGGCGATTGTCCGGGGGATAGGTTTAGGGCTTACGGATTAGAATGTAGGGTTAATTGAGAGTTTAGGGCTTCCAGTTTATAGGCTTAGGGCTTTGGTTTTGGGATCATGGTATAGGGCCCACAGAGCTTAGAATCTAGGATAATTGGGGAATAAGGCCTAGGGTGAAGGGTTGTGGGTTCAGTCTTCTGGGTTCTCGCCTGAATACACATGAAACTCTAAGTCCCAACACCCTGAACCTGAACACTAAATCCAAAACCAAAACCAAACTCCAGTAACCCTGAGAGACTGGCATCATCACATACCTTCACCCTGAGAGTCCCTGTACCCAAGAATTAGATACTTGGGACTTTGGTAATAGTAGTTGTGGGACAGGTTTTAGGCAGTTGTATGATTAACTCTTGAGTTCTTGGACCCTAAACCCTAAACCCGAAAAGGAAGGGCATGGAGGGCCTTTTGCTCTGTGGAGGCAGCGCTGAATGCGTTTACAGCCTCTTCTTCGATCTGGACCTGAAGTTCCATGTAGGGACTCTGAGGGGATCATAGCCCTAAGGGTCCAAGAACCCAAACAGTAGGGTGTGAGGGCCCAAATACCATTAATAGAACAATATTTGGGCCCTAAAACCCTATTATTTGGGTCCTTGGACCCTGAGGGTAGGGGTCCTTCTTACGCATTGGGTCATTTTGAGAAACTGCAACATAGTCTGGGTGTTTAGGGTTTGAAGTTGAGGGATACAGGTTTTAGGTTCAGGGTTTTCCTGGGCCCCCAAAATATGTACAATACTGGTCTTGCTGGCTTGTCTTAGCGCTTTGGGATCATAAACCCTAAGCCCCTAAACCCTAGGGTGTAGGGTTCACGACCGGGGGGTCACGGATTTGGGGCTGACATGGTCTAGGACGTAGGGTGTTTGTATTTAAGCTTAGGATATGGGATTTATAGGAATTAAGGCATAGAATTTAAGGCCAGGGTTTAGGACTTTCCCCAAACAAAAAATGATACGAAAACCAAACAATGCGAGACTGCTCTCCTGTTCAGAGGGGGCGATATGCGCTGTAATGGTCATGTGAGCCATAGTGAAAAACTCCTAGTAGCCTCCTTAATAATGACACCTACGAAAGTCTCGTGTATAATTCCCTATATAACCGTCTTGAAGAAATTTAAACTAGCTCATGCGGGGGGAGGTCGGTGCAAAGTTTAAGGTATAGGGTTTATTATAGGATCCTCAACGGGGGGGGTTCAAAGGGGGGAGGCTACAAGGGAGCCTTGGAGAACCTGAGGGAAGCTTAGGGAGTATAAGGGAATAATTGGAATTACTAGGTTACCTACCCCCCTTGGACCACCACCCGAAACCCCGGACACTTGACCCTACTTGGA